ATACAGGGCTTTTCATGATGAGCGTTAATTAGCCGTTTCTGGCAAACTATTCAACGGATCAACCTGAAAATTCCACAGTATGCGTAAGTCATTATGACCTACACGCCTATATATATATATATATATGTGTGTCTTCTTTTTCACAAAGATCAGTAATATTAAGCACTCGAAATATTTCGGAAAATTATTTTTCCTTGATTTTACCTTGTATATGTAACATGTTTTCATGTTATTTTTACGAAATGAACGAATTTTTGACATTCCAAATATCGGAGCAGGATATGTTTTTATGTTGAGCAGAATACTTTTATTGTATTCAAAAAATCAAACAATTCCACAGCGTTAGCTCCTCTATCCCACGTGAGATTTTCCCAATGTCAGAAATTGTAACAAGGAAACTGTGGCTAACTTCACATCAGTGTTGTTCCTGATGTTACTTTAGTAACAAAAAATTACTTTTTCACCAACTATGTTACTGAATCTTTTGTTACATTTTAAAGACATTCAGTTCACTGATTTCATAATTATAAAGTGTATTCCGAGAGTTTCATCTCGGACATAGGTTATATGTCAGAGAACGACAGAAATCCTCACAGAAGTGACACTCATCTGGCGGCACTTTGATTTCGAGGGTCAAGTAAATGCGCCCTGTATTCTGTGTTTATGGTGTTCAATGTCACTTTTCGCGGTAAATTCAAATGATTTGAAACTCATCGGATAAACAATTAATCACGAAGTCAGCAACGAGAGGTTGTTAGGCCAACATTTTATCAAAACTAACACCATCTCATCATATCAGCTTGACAAATTTTTTCAGTTGATAATACCCACCTCCAAGGGTGTCATCTGTCAAATAATTGCATGTTCTGCGCTCATTCGTGAGGTATTCTGTTGTTCTGTGGTCAAAGAATGAATAATTTTGTTATGTGAAGATTTTGAGACGCTTATTTACTTGTGACTCATACACCTATCCTCATTTTCCGCATCTTCCTCTATCAAATGTTACTTTTTTTTCTCTCAAATGTCGCCTATAGTAGTAACAACACTGCTTCACATTATAGTCTCATCTAGGTCGGAATAACTTCTGTCCCTCAAGCTGTATTCGTCAATAGGGACCGACTATCTTTGCGAAACAACACCGAAAGGAGGAACAAACAAAGGGCGAGGCGGCATTGTTTCAGATTCATTCAATAAACACCAATGGAATATATTATACCTTATCTGACACTCGACATGCTCTATATTGCTCTGAATGCATGCTGATATGAAAAAAATAGGCGTTTGGAAACATCTCTGTGTCATAATGCATTATAATGATGGAATTAAGGACGGGTAGAAACTCTATTCTAATTCACTGCTGATTCCATTAAATGTCAGGCAAGCGTGAAGCGAGAAATATTAAATTTGAAAAAAATTGTGGTTATTTCTTTGGTACTTAGGGAAGAAATTTCACAAACTAATTTAAACAGGCATTGAATGAATGAAAATTACCTAACAAAAGGAAGATTTTCAAGTTTATTTGGTCTTTCATTAAATTTTCAGAATTCTCAAATCAATTGATTTTCAAAAGATTGACTTCCAAACATTTTTCTTCCAAAACACGTCATAGTCTTGATTGAACTCATACCCTATTCTGTTCGCAAATGTATAATTGATCTTCTTCACATTCAAAGCACTGATCATACGCTCTTTCACTCTCTGGGAATAGATGTTTTCCGTTTGTCCTATATAATGAAGTTTTGGGCGAGATTCACAAGTCTCCTGATCTCTCCGACCAAAAGTATGTCGATGTCCTTTGACGCTGACTATCGAGTTGGATATACTTGGTTCGTTTTGCTTGGAAAGGAATGGAGTCGATATCCGTCTTGTAACTATACTATACAGGGTGTTCCTTAAACACATGCTAATATTTAAGGAGGTAATTTTTAGACCCATTTTAAGAAAAAAACTTCCTATGGACGTATGTCCTAAACGCCTTAACTTTTGAGATACAGGGTGGCAAAGTTTTCAAAAATAATCAGTTTTTTAATAATAACTGAGATAATTTTGTAGACATCTTTGGCATATTTGGTACATATGTTCCATGCCTCAAGGC